TATATATATATATGCATTCGATTCGGTAACGTTCAGCTGGTGCGTGTCGCATAAATAACAATAAATGATGCTAAATTCGTGTGTCGCATACTCGTATTATATAAAATATAAATAGGCACGTCGTCGTCGTCGTCGTCATCCGTCGATGATGGTCGTAACCCCATCAGACAAAAGGGATTCGTTACACACACACACACACACACATACACACTCTCGAACACGCGTATATACACACAAGAGCGCTTCTATCGTATTCTCGACGTTTATAAAATATATATTTATATTGTAATGTGTGTGTTGCCTCCACGCGCGTCTGTTATGGTCCACGGGGTGGGCGGGGGCCGGGTATCGGTGGACTTTTAAAACTTCCGGCTCCATCTCATTGCTTATGCCCCTCCTTCCGTTCGCGGAGTCAGTCCTGAACGACGCCGTCTTCCGGTTCTCGTTTCCAAAATGTTGTTAAGGCCCATCCGGGTCGAATATCGTCCTTTTGTCGTGCGTTTATCGGCTATGCACGCGCCCCACGCAAAAGGGTAGTAGCTAGTCGGTATTAATAATAACTCGAATATAATAATATACGATAATATTATCGTGATGATGCCCGCAAAGAACAAAACGGCCAAAGTCCGAATCGAACCGTTTTGTGAACGAGGCGCGACGACGACTGCTGCAACGACGGTGATTCACGGGTGCAGCCACAGCAGTGACCGATAGTCGTTTTCATTCCTCCCGAATCGATTCTTCTAAAACTATGTACGTATACAATTCATAACCACCAACATATTATTATATTATTAGTCAAACTGTCAAAGTGTTATATTTACTCGACGCTACGAGTAAATTGTTTCAGACGTTTCCTGTTTCGGGATTTTCGTAGCGGAAGAGCGTTGTTGAAAGAAAAAAAAATATCACAATTGGAATTCGGCTGCAGAAATAAGTTTTAATAAAAAGTTTTTAGAGAAAGTGATTGTTTGTGAAAACTCCATTATCATCTCCTTTCCTCTGCGACACACACACATACATTTATACATAAATTAGTACACTATAATATAATATATATACATACATCTATAATAGTTGCGTGTGGACCGTGTGCTATGCTTATATGACTGCAGACTATGTACATAAATTGCAGACAAATGTATTTAAGTGGTGTGCGTCTTGAACCTATATAAAGTTTATAGGTATAATGTTATACTACAGTGATATATTATATAAGTACCGTTATTTCACTTCGTGTTAGCATATTATTATACTTGACAACAGACTGCAATTTTCAAATGTTATCAAGTTCAACGGAAAATATATTATTATTGTGTTGTTGTCTGTATAAGAATTGCATGAACATATTATTATTTAGAGCCTTAGAGGTTTACGTAATCCCTTTTTTTCAGCTAACAAAATTTAATCTCGAACGTGAACTTATCACGAGGGCGGCTAATATATACGAAATTATAATACTGAAACGCAGGTTCCACCATGATAAGAGATCATTGCGGTACGAGTTTTCTTTCATTAGAGAAACGTGCCAAATAGGTCGTTCTCACACGACACACACACAAATATGTATATATTATCTTATTATACATATCGTTTTATCCACGACTGCAGCAATTGTACCTAGATAAGTAATACGGTATACCACAGTGGTAGTATATACCTAGTGACTACAACAGAGCTGTAATTATTATCATTATTCTTCAACCGAAATTAATTCTACGAAATTTGTTTCGTGTGTATCAGACGTGCACAGACTGCAGTCTATAATAATAATGTATACGACGACGGTTGAAAGCCGACAACGGTGTTTTTCCGAATATTGTTTTTCGTATCCTACAAAATATTATATAGGTATAATATTATATAGTATAAGGTATATATGAGTAATCGTATTACCGCGTTAGCGGTACACGGTATATTATTGCATTATATATTAAATTACATCCATGTCATTGTCGTGCTGTTCTCTAATTACTACCAGGACGTGCAATATACGTGTATGCTATACATAAACGCAATTTCAATTAATTTCAATCCACCACTTGCGCGACCGGTGTACCTATATCATGGTTTTGCTGGGATTGAAAAATGGCCGACACACGTCATGATCATTGCGATATCATAGTCTCACGATAAAATACGATGACTGTTTACCACGATTTAAAATAGGTACCATCTTAAATCGTGCTGCTTACCCAAAAACATACCGAAAACTGTTTTGCTAGGGATAGAACCACTCGGGCTGTAGTGGTAGTTAAGACTCCAAATTGATACACAATATAGTTGAGAACATAATCTGTGAAATATTGTTTTTTTGTTATCATTTATACGAAAAAAGTTCTTTTCAAAATCAATTATTTTTGCGTTTTTCAAATTTAAATAACTTTTTTATTAGTTCCGATGTCGGAACATTTTTTTGTTTATTCATTAAAAAATATTAAATGTTTGTACAGTAAATCTATATAAGCAAAAATTAAATATATAATACCTATTATATATTTTAACAAAGGATTAATAAAAACATAGGGTGTCCAATATTCTTACAGCCTATCAGTCGCCGTTCCTGGTTTGACTTATTAAATTATTATCAATATGAAAAACTACGTACCTTAGGAAATATAAAGGTAAGATGTAAATAGTTTTCGTGTAGTCGTAGACCAGTTGCAGTGCGTTTCCACATTTGAACCACGACCCACAAATAATATGCGTGTTTCGACGACGAGGTGTAGTGATTTTGAAATCATTAACCTTATACGAATTTAAATATTTTTTTAATTCAACACTAAATTCAATAATATTGTAAACATCATTAAGCAGTCAGACAACCGTCGGTAAATGAGAGAACTTTATACGGGACCGCTCTTACATTTGGTGTTAAATTTTCGACCACTGACTATTAAATTGTCAGCTGGACTCGCGAGGTTGTACACCACTGCTGCAAGCATACAAGATACACACTATACACGAGCATTATCCAAAGATGATTAGGAGGGGCAGCTGTCTTGCAGATCGTTCACCGGAGTCCTGTGTATACAATACGATCACTGAACTTTGAAGCGGCCATCCGGTTTCGTTGTCGTCGGACTCCTAAGCCGGGGTCACAACTACCCTTATTGTAGTGTAAAACCAAGATCTATCAAGATCTTTTTTATCAAAATAATAATTTATCAAACGGTACCACGACAGAAACCAAACGACACAGAATAGTTGAATATATTCAACTTTTGGCTGTGTGGTTACAGATATGTGCACAAAAAATGATGACTAAATGATAAAATGTTATCATCTGGTACGATGATAAGTATTCATTTCATTGCTATTACATTTCGGTATACAGATAAAAATATGACATGACACGACACTGGCAGTTGTGAATCCGGCTTTATACTCGCATTATTCAGTTTACATCCGATTGGTCGGAATGTTAATAGCACTACATCATCCACGCATGATACCTATCGATGTAGGTATATATACACGAATCGTATATTGTTATGTTTGTATGCGTGTACCTATGTTTATTACTATATTACCACTATTCATACTTGTATGTAGCCATGTAGGTATATAGATATGTAAATATATTATTTTTACAGTACAGTACCTACTTCAGTACGAGTGTAGGTAGTTATAATTATACGTTTGTACGCGGTCAGCGGTCCAGATATTCGTCCGTCGCCGCGTGGAAATATGTATTTTATTATTATTGTCTCATCGAAAAAACGAAATGAAATCACGACCACCTCGATACACAACGAAGAAGCTGTAATAAGATATTTATTGTATTACGTACACCGGTGCTGCGGTTTTCCACGGTCAATATATTGGTTATACTATATTATATTATAACACGGGTACCTACTTATTATAATATAGGCGCACACCCACCACATATCGTACCCATATAATAACACGATGGTCACAAGTCCGTCGTATGGTGTGCTATGGTACTAATGTACTATACCTATGTTCACCGCGGTGCAGGATATATATTATATTATATAATATCATATTATGTACACTGGTCTAAGGATTGTCTATGTGTACCTACCTACGATATACGATTATAATATACACGCCGACCTATAACGGTTTAACATGATTTACGGATCGTATTGGTTTAACACAGAAGCGTGTTGAATGCATGATTGTTTTTTCTCCCCCTCGCACTCTTCCGAATTCATCCTCGCACACATTATAGGTATTATTACTATAATAGCGTCTCTCGACGAGAATAGTCCTATAGTTACATATAGGTAGGTGTAACACCGCGTATAATATTATTTTGTACCTAGGTAGCTGTAGGTATATAGTGTATAATATAATATAATACGCGTTCGTCTCGCACTCGCTAATCAATTAGTTCTATAAACACACACACGCACACACGTATTTATGTACTATATATATATTATATTATTACATTAACCAAATGTCGTTCGCTCTTCACAATAGACCAGACGGATATAGTTATACTAGTTATAGGTACTTACAAAGTTGGTTTTGTTAACCTTAATTCAAACTCCTCGTTATACCTATACAGAAACAGTAGGTATATAGTATGTCGTTATATTGTTTACACGCGATAGACGATAATACAATATATATTATTATTATTTAACGTTATTACATTAATAATAATCCGATAGGTAATAAAATAAAACAAATTAAAAACGCGTTTCGGTGTGCCTATACAAATACAATGTATATATATATATTTATATTTTCATATTAATCAAAAGAATTTACATTAAATATCACTATACAATATACAGTGGTCGCCGCTTATTGGACTCACTTTGGGACCCGACAATTTGAGTCAATTAACCGAATGAGTCAATAAGGCGAATGACTCAAAAAAATTTTAAGAATGCTTAAATTTAAAAAATTAAAAATTAAAAATATGTATTGAAATTCAAGGTATAAAAAATGTAAAAATCTAGCTATATAAAATAAAATAAAATTAATAAAATACATACATACATAATTAATAAAATTAATTAATTTTTTGATAAAAATACGTCTAATGTTGATTGGATTTTTGCTTCTTCGGCCAACTTCATAATCATATCTTCATAAGATTTATGTTTCTCGAATACGTCAAAATCGCCTCTTTGCTGAATTCCTCTACGTAAAATTTGAAGCGCTTCTAGCATTTCTTTAGTTGATGGTGGTTTCTCATCAGGTTCCTCTTCGTCGCTATCACCAACCATATTCTCTTTAAACCGTTTTGACTGTATTTCCCCACATATATCTTCCTCGGTAACGAGTTCGGTAGTTTGGACTTCTTCGTCAATATTTATCCATTCATTATAAAGTTCAGTTGATAGGTCAGTGGGTTTTTCGACAGCAGCTTCAACTTCTTTTGGACAGAGAATGAAACCACCGTGTCGGAAACAATTACGTATTGTGATTTTACTGACCATATTCCACGCTTCGTAGGCTAAATGTAAACCTTCAAGTACAGTTATTTTTTTGGCGATTTCATGAGCACGTAAGGTACATAATTCTTGTTCCAGGTTAGAATCAATCACACTGATCACATTCTTTCTCATGCCTGTTCTGTAATAAGCTTTAAAAGTGCGTATAATCCCTTGATCACACGGTTGTATGATTGATGTAGTGTTAGAGGGTAAAAATACGAGGTTAATATGTTTGAATTTCACTGTAACCACATGAGCCGTGCAATTATCGACTAGCAATAAAACGTCATGACAAAGTTCATTGTCCCACTTGGTCAGCCATTCGGTGAAAATTTCTTTTGTCATCCATGCATTACTGTTTGCAGTATAGTCTACCGGTAGATTCTTAACACCCTTGAAACACCGGGGATTTTTACTTTTACCAATCGCGAGCAGTTTTCTTTTTTCACCATCCATACTTGCACAACATAATATGGTTAGACGTTCTTTACTAGTTTTAGTTCCTCTAGTTTTTTCATTTTTAAACGCGTAAGTGTGCTCAGGTAATGCCCTGAAATAAAGCCCAGTTTCATCCGCATTGAACACACAAGACGGAGGATATTTGGCGATAAGAGATGGCCATTCTGAATTAATCCACGACCGCGCAGCTACTTGGTCTGCTTCTCCCTGTTCTCCATGTGGCTTAACGAATGAAATGTTTTCGCGTTTCTTCCATCGGTGAAACCAACCTTCTGTTGCCACAAAATCATCTTTACCCAATTTTTTCGCGAGATCTTCGGCTTTTTGACGCAACAGTGGTCCTGTAACTCGGGCGTCTTTTTCTCTGACTTTTGTGAACCATTGTTTCAAAGCTTCTTCAACTTCTTCTTCTTTACCGGCCCTTTTTCTTTTACGGTTTGAATTCACATTTTCTAATGCATTTCCCTCGATTTCCTGTCGACTTTTCAGCATCCTACCTAGTAAACTTTGAGACACGTTTAACTTACATGCTGCTTGTCGCTGGCTCATTTTCGGGAGCTCGTCATATTTTTTAAGAACATCCAATTTTTCTTCCACACTCAAATCACGTCGTTTGTTCATTGTAACACGAAAAATAAAAATTTTTACACAGAATATACACGTACATATAAACGCAGACAACACACTGAACACGACGACGTCTATTCATACACTACCTGTCGTACTACATTGACGACTGCTTGGTTTATCGTGAAAAAGTAATTTATTTTATCTCCGCGATAAAAGGTACCGACTTATTTATAACACGTTTGTTCAATGTATGTACATATTTTCTTTATTTATCTAATTTTCAAATGACCCTATTAACCGGTGTGTGAGTCGAATAGACGAATTTTTGCTGTGTGTTAGTATATGTGCGAATCGGGACCAACCGTTTTGAGTCTAATAGGCGAATGAGTCAATTAACCGTGAGTCCAATAAGCGGCGACCACTGTAATATAATATTTAGGTCTGTAAAAACCGCTAAAGCCTAAACATATAATATGTACACAACATTCCCCCCATGGACACTTTAAAAATAATAATTATAATATAATAATATGTACCTATATACTTACATATAATTATAATAATTTATTGGGAACAAATCTAGTTCGGCTCCCAATTGAACTTTTAAATTTTTTTCGGAAACCTTATGTATTATAACGAGTTAAGAACGATATTCCAAAAATAAATTTTCAGGAAATCATTAGTTTTTAAGTTGTAGCCTTACAAAGTTCACGATTTTCGGTGTTATATACGCATTCGTACAACGCAATATTTTACCGCGCGTTTGGAACTTTTCCACTTTACTGAACAACTTTTTTTTACATATTTTTTTTGTCTTTAACGTACTTATATGTAGTTAAGCATACTGAAAAAGAAGGGGAAGTCTGAATTTGGCGGTCAGACTTATTTTAAAGTTATAACTTATAGATAATTGAAATTGTTGGTATTTTAAAATACACCCGGTGGCGTGGTCACTCAATGGGTTCGCTTGCTCGGACAATTGAAATTGAAAACATCCCTCGACTTGTTATGTAAAACCACCATGGGTGGGTGTCAGAGTCATATTTACCCAATCATTTTTAAAACGTTCATTTACCTAGGATTCAAAAGAAAATTTTTAATTCGTTTTAAGAGTGGTAAACTGCATATAAGCGTTGTGCGTGTGCATAAAACACCGAAAATCGTGAACTTCGTAAGGCTATACCATAGAAACTAATGATTTCCGGTAATTAATTTTTTCACCATCGTTCTCAAAAATTTTAACCCCCCCCCCCTTTCCAAACAATCCTTCCGAAACTGAACACACCTCTGCTGGTCAGTAGTTATAACAATTACAAATAGTAAATGTACACTGTACAGGGTTATATCACATGACACATATGATTTGATGACTATGCTATGCAAAATTATATAATGAATCACGAGACGCTCTGCGTGAGTAATTGAGTATAGGTATAGGTTCCTACTCTGTATTTTTTTTCTCAATTATTATTTTTTTTATGGTACCTCTCGATTTTAATATGGGCTCATCATGTAGTTAAAAAAGGGATCTATATTTATGGATATTTTTTTATACTTTGCTTTATATTTGCCTTTGTTAAAAATAAGGACTATGTAATCAAACACAATACTGGTATATGCGCGTTAAATCCTAATAAGTAATAATAACAGACTACCAAAATAAAAAAAAACAACACATATAGGTTTAATAATACATAAACCGGAACAAATGGTTTTTTTCTATTCAATGCAGCCGTCAGAAGTCGGTAGTATATACATGTGTGTGTGTGTGTGTGCGTGTGTGTACCTATACACGAATTAAAAGGTATAGAGGCGCCAGTGTGCACGGACAAAAAGACCGCTTGAATCGATGATCTCGATTTATTTTTTTTCCATTTCTGATCGATATAATAAGTGAGGGTGCAAACAATACAAATTATATTCGCTAATCGTGCGAGAGGAAGTGTTTTATCTCATGGAAGCCGACACATATACACGAAAGGCGTGTCTCGTTAGTCGTTTGTCTATATATAGTCAGAATATTCTGGACATCGGGTCTGGAACTCTGGACCGTGATACCTGCTTCAGGCGTGTATGTATATATATAACGACCTCACACAACGTGCATTTCTCAAGATAAAAGGTCAAAAAAGTTATACCGCCAAAATTGAGGTTCTAGAATATTGGCAACAGTTTATAGAAAATGGAAAAAATAAATTAGGTCTGTTATTAAATATGAAATGGTAAATTGGTCTATATACAATATACAACTATACAAGTGGTTTTGTACACAACCGCATTGTACACACACACACACACACACACACATATAGCAGGTTTTGTTTGAAATAAAGGACGTTTAGTTAATAAATGTTTGATATATTGATTTATTACTTACTGTTCAGAAGTCAAAACTAAATATTGCAATTTTTAGCCTATTGTTGTTTTTATATAGGCGCATACTGGAGATATATTATATTATGAATATCTATGCTGATATTTATCTACGACTGTCTAAATAAATAAACCTAGGAGATTAAAGGGAGGTAAAATATCATGGATAAATATAGGACATGGAAAAATACTACGCTAAAAAATCCACGAAAATAGTATTTTACGCCATGGCGGTCAATTTGATTCTTTGATTTGTATTATAGGTACAAAACATAAATATCGTACATTCCGTACATATCATTAAAAATATAATATCAATATATTTCCCTATATAGTATTAATCAATATAATATGCCAGTATATACAGGCATACAGCAGTAAGTTAGTGATACCTAGTGGTTTTGTATTAATATAAACAATTATATTATCTTTAATAGTTTAATATACCTAGAATATATTCAACATAGTACCTATTTTTTAAATAACTTAATTTTTTATTACTAACATTTTTCTCACTTTGTTATTTTCCGTTTAACGGGGGAAAAACATTTTTAAAATTGATAGTTGGGTTTCCTTGGATATTTGTTCACAGATAAATTGAACTGATGACGTCATAGTAAATTATATAGCTGGTAAAAGTGTGTTATTGTGACGTACTGACATGTGTGGTATCATACACGTGTACATCATACAAGCTAAAAATATACATATATAGTATCAAAGTTTTATGTGTTATAACGAGGGCCGGATTGGACAAATTCGACCAACAGAGTTTTCCGTACTTTACCGGTCCACTTACAAACTGGCGGCCCTTGTGTAGGTATACGTTCTTATTCCGTGCATAGTTATTTTACAAACTCTTATCATATTTTCAGTCAGCGGCCCTTCATGACTTGAAATGTACAAAATTTCCGGGGCTCACCGAGTCCGGTCCTGCAGGTTATAAGTGTTATAACTTATAACATATCATATTATTATATTCAATAATATGTATATAAAAAACGGCGAGAATGGTACTTTGTCGCTAGAGACTGTTTTCTTAATATTTGATAATACTAGGGTAATGGGTATTCTTTTAAAAAAATGCTGTCTTCATTGCGATTATACGTATGTGGTAACTATAAACTTATTTGACGAGAGTGCTTAAAAATTATATAGGTACCTATTATCTATTTTTCTGTCCCTGTTTTTCATAATGATCCAGCGTTCAATATATAATATATTCTTTTAGTCGTTTACGTGTAGCTTGCAACGGTACACCATCGCTACCAGCCACACTAACAGCGCAGCGGATGATAAAAAAAAAAATTGTATGTATAAAAAGGGGTCACCACCACCGCCGTCTGCAAGTACACCCCCAGCATCGCTTGATGCAGCATCAGAGTACTGGAGGTATGCGACGAGACGGAGAGCGCGTTAATTAATCTCCGTCCGATGACGGTTATATTATTAGGTTGACTTAATGAATTCCAAAATCGCCTCCGGTTTAGGATCGAAAAAGCTCGCTAATGAAAGCACTTAGGGGGTAACCCTTTCATAATAATTATCACAAAAACGGTCCTCCTTCCCGCACACCGACTGCCGCAGACACCTCGCCCCAGACTCGCGACACCTTTTAAAACGATTTTCGTCGCGTTCGCGTATACACGATGACGTATATATAATACGCCTGCTACTGTATTTATATAATAATAATAATAATAATAATAATGAATACGTGACGTAGCTTTTCACGCGGACGTCCAATGGCAATCGATCGAACTGGCCGAGGCCACGCCCAGCCCGGGCCCGGTACCGGTGCCGGTTGGCCGTGTGCGTGTAAAGCACTCTTAAATAATTAAGTCGGATCGTCGTCGCCGGAAAATAATGCGAAAGAGATGTTTTCCGGCGGGCGAGAGGTGCGCGGTGCGGCGACGGCGGCGGCGGCGCCACTCGCGCAGGTTTATTCGAACCAAGACGAAAGGGCGGAGGTGAAGGAACCGAGAGGATGAGGTCGATATAATAATAATAATAGTAATACAGGCGCCGGGCGATATGATAAAATATATATCTATATATATATATATAGGTACGCGTGTATATTATATAGTGGGAAAAAGGGTTAAAGCTCGCGCATAAGGCTCGGGGAGAATGCAGGCGGCGGTCGGTGAGTTTGTCGCCGCAGAGTGGAGAGGGCGAGCCCATTAATCATAAAATGTTTTTGGCGCGCGCGTTACGCGGAAAACACAATAAGGGGAAATTCGTGTCGATCCGCGTGATAATAAGCACCGCTGGGGACACGTCTCTCGCTTTATCTCTCTCTCTCTCTCTCTCACTCCCTCTTGTTTACTGCAATATCCGAAAACACTTCGCGCGTTATACATTATATATTAATATACTGTATTATTATTATTATCATTATTCCTATATCTATATATATATATAATATCAAACCCGGGCGCAATGACGGCGTCGGTATTGTTTACGGTTAATGAGGCCGTTACGAGTGGAAACGGACGAAAAATAAAAAATAAAACACAACCGTTTTCAGCCACCGCGTCATTAGCGATGACGGCCATCGCCTGCACCGTAATTAACTTGTGTGTGAATTTTTTATGCACACGTGGCCGCGCCAAAGTGACATATCACGTTATTCGGTGTGAGTGTGTGTGATGTAAATATAATAATAGCAGGTGTGA